CCTTCTCTCTTCCCCCCGCTCACCTCAGCCGCATGGACATGATGCCGCGCTGTAACCTGGGAATATCATCCCCCTCATATCCATTCGGGCCCGCAGCGCGGCCGGGCCCGACCGTCTCGCCGAGGGCCGCGGCCGGGCCCCCGCTGAGTAACCCGGCGTTGAACGGCCGCCGGCCGACTGTGGCCGGCGCGGGCCGGCGGCGGCCGCCCGGCCGCCCGGCCCGACCGTCCCCGTGATGAGGGCCGAGTTCGGAATCATCGAGTCAGCTGAGTACCGTGACGGTCAGGCCCGCGGCATCCCGGCAATGATGGGCCGGGCGTTACTACTTAGCCTCCAGCCGCTCCGAGCACACTGTCGTGTCGATCGGAGTCCCGGGGCGGTCGTTTGCACACTATGGCACGGTGGCATCATACTCCTCGGAGTCACTCGTAGCCTAGTACGGTGTGCCATGATAAACAATTTGTCAGCCACTGGAGACGGTGGTTTGACGCAAAACTGATAGTTAGCTACAACGGTACATCGTACAGGCTCAAGAGTAAACCGTTTCAGTATAGTGAAATATCTATCATGATATCTACTCACTGCAGTTCTCAGGCGGCCTGACCGGTGGAGCGCCGTACGGTAGCCCCGTGATGCTGCATGATGACTATAGTATGATGCCATGATCGGATGGCCAACTGCTTGTCGTGCGGGCTACTACAAAGCGCGCGAAGACAAGTACATCACAAGCATCATCGTGAACATACTGCACACCATAGAGCCGGTAGCACTCGCGATAGTTGTTGAGCTCAACGACTCGGAAGCTTTGGGGGTTGTAGCTGGGCTAGCAGCCTGGGGCTGCTCAGTGGGCGAAGAAGGAGAAGCAGGAGGTGCTGTGACAAGCCATCGAGAGTACCCAGGGCTCTCTGCTCTTCTTCCAGCGACGCCGGCAGACCCGTAAAAGACGATCTGGTTGGCCGTTTGCAAGTAAGCGGCAGGAAAGATGACGTCCAAGTATGCCGACATGGCGTCTCCAGGGACAGCGCTCACTCTGATCTGCACAGTGCCGGTCGTGTGGTTCGAGAGCGAGACCGTGGTTCCAGCAACCGAAAAAGTCGCTGCGTTGAACGCCTTGCTTAGCTCCAAGGAGATCATCTTGCCGCCTAGAGTGAAGGTGATGTCGTTGACCTCGACGTTGCTCATCTCAGAGAGCTTCTTCGACTGAGTGTTGAACGTCATGCCTGCTGATGTCTTGTTGCTATCCACAACAGTCATCGTGTACCTGACAAAAATGTTCTTGGCGAAGGGATGTGGAATGAAATTGCTCCCCATGGTCCCACCGTACGTCATGAATGCGATGTCTCCCGAGAAGAAGGACACTTCGCTTCCCGAGCATTGCTTGTTCGAAGTCGCTGTGACACACATGTCGACTTTGAGTTTCGTGGAGTGATCTGATGGGATGTCGTCAACGGTGTTGAAGCTCACAGGGATTGTTTTCGTGCTGACATCTCCTTTGGTCATGATTGCGTTAATCGTGCCGATGTAGCCTGCGCTCGTCTTGTCTGTCCCCACAAGAGCTCCTGTCGTCATGTACGCGTATGCCGCTGAACCCACTGCTACGTTTGGCGACGAGTCTCGGAAGCCGTTGTTGATGTTAGGCAAACCTCCGATCGAGGTTACTTTGCTGCTGTCTGTGCTGTAGGTGTTGAGGTCGTGGATCCATCCGAGCATGAAGGGTGTCAGAGTGACGTAGGCTGAGGGGCCGGGGCTTGCAGCAGAGCATGGTCCGTATGCTGCGACAGTACAGTCGTTTGTTGTCGTGCATGACTCCTTGATTCCAGCGCAGATATCCTTACCCTCAGCCTTGACGAAGGAGAAGGAGTCGCAGTAGGAGAGAGGGAGGGAAGAGAGGAGGAGAGGAAGGAGAGCGAGAGCGGTATGCCACGGCCCTGAGGTCTGCATCGAGCACGGCCCCCGCATTACTCAGGAAGTTGATTTTCTGGATCTTTTACTCACCAATCTGAAGTTTCTGGTATCTCGTTCGGAACTGTTTAGTTAACTTGGGGGAGCAGTTTTAGCGGCGAAGGGGCCGGCGTGACTAATGTAGCTGCTAGTCTGAGTCGAATCCAGCCAGGCTATGATCATCGAGTCTACTCAGTGAAGACTCCATCTCAGTGACTAGTGACGGTGCCAAGAAGCAAAGGGGAGGAGGCTCTTATCATGAGTCAGTCCGGCCCGCACAGGTTGACCGTCGGACGATGTCAGCGTAGGTGGACATTCCTGTGGATGATGCCGCAGCTTTGGCTCGATGCCTCAATCTCGCTGCAAGGCTCGCCAAACTTTTCTTATTGCTAACAGATCACTTCAATACCTGCGAGAGTGCAATCAGCAATAGGTAGCCGACTGCACTGATAAAACTTCTTTCTCTCAGTGTCTCTCTGTCTCTTTGTCTCTCTGTCTCTGTCTGTCTCTGTCTGTCTCTGTCTCGCTGTCTCTCTTGAACCGTGACTGATGTCAACAATGTGAGACAGAATATATCGTTCGCAAGAAATTCTAAGGTGCGACGGTTTGTGCCTCCAGTGGTGGTACTTGTCATACCTTCACGATCAGATACTCTCCTCATCTGGCATCTTGCCATCGGATGATCGCTCCCTCCCCCCAAGGCTTCTCGGTACGGTAACTTTCTCGTGCTTCTGCACAGGCTCAGCACCGCAAACCCAACAGGCTGAGGCGGCAAGCAGTGTGAGCTGTGGAGGCTGCACGTTTTATGTCTCGGATGAGGGTTTGCTGTGGAGGGAGGGGAGCTGTAGTGGCGGTACCTGTGAAGCTAATCCGTGGGGTTGGTTGGAACTTGACAACTTGGATATTCGGAACATAGCGAATGGGACCTTCGATGGTCTTTCGAGCTTGGGTTTGCTACTTCTTGCCAACAACAAGCTGGAGAGTCTGCCTGCAGGGATCTTCGACAGGCTCTCAATCTTGATTTGGCTATTTCTTTCCAACAACAAGCTGGAGAGTCTGCCTGCAGGGATCTTCGACAGGCTCTCAATCTTGATTTGGCTATTTCTTTCCGACAACAAGCTGGAGAGTCTGCCTGCAGGGGTGTTCGACGAGCTCTCGAGCCAGCTTGTGCAGATAAATCTTTACAACAACAAGCTGGAGAGTCTGCCTGCGGGAATCTTCAACAAGGCTACTCACTGCAGTTCTCAGGGTACGGTGACTGTATTTGGGGTGATGGAGAATTCAGGCCTTCAATGATACTAAATATGAATGAAATCTTACAGATATCATTAAATGTCATTTTCCAGGCAGCACATGACATGATGCAACGACTGAGTCTCTTGTAACCGTGGCTACACATATTATTCCATGGTGATGACGCAGTGCAGCCCACAATGATGAAAGTTTCGCGATTTAGGAAAATCAGACTGTATTGACTGAAAAAGAAAGGCAAACCGGAGCAAACAAAGGAGGACGAGGATAAAGCCTACAAACCCGCCTCAATAAAATACTAGGAAACGAAGGAGGCAGCGAAAACCGCTACTCCAACCACGCAAGCGACGGCATGCACGACAAGCAGGGGAACAAGGATCAGGACAAAGAGCAGTAGCGCAAGGCTCCTGCGAGGAGGACGGCAAGACCCATGCGAGAGCGATACTGCCGAAACAGGCGAGCACGCAAACGATGAATGACGGAATACAAGTTTGTTAGACTTGTACTAGTCCAAAGTCACGCAGACGTCACATCGACCTTAGTTGTAACAAGACAGTTTTTGCTCAAGACCGAGTTTAATGCACACAAAACCAGAATTGAGGAGCACATGAGAGATAGACTGTATGCTAGGATGTGAAACCCAAGCATCCAGACATGAGAGGACCTTAGCAAGACGGCTAGGAAAGCCCCCCTCTTCGTCCCACACGCTACATCGTCCGCCTTGCCACGTAAGTCGTCTTGGTTTACAGGAGAGTTTTTGTTAACTCGGCGCTATCTGACTGGCACGGCTGACATACGTTCCATCAATGAAAGCTAGGGTCCTCCGCTGTCAGCGTAGCTCCATGGTGATCCGCCAGGTAAAAGAGAAACCGCAAAGCGTCAGCATGAAGAAGACCATCCGTACCTGCAGTGAAAGGAAGAAAGGCCTTCGGCGGGTGATGGGTGCCATAACTTGCGCGATGATCCGAAATCTTCTGCTGGGCGGGGCCGGAGAGCGCAGACCGTACTCGTCCCCGGACGGGGCTGCCGCTGCTGTTGTAGGGATGAGTCACCCCCGAGTCCGGTCATCGTGACTCAGTGAAGAGTCCAGAACCAGCCCATTCCAGGTGTGGGTGGAGAGGCCAGGGAGCCGAAGGTCGCCCATGTGTCGGTTGGTGGGGCCATGCTGAGGGACGAGGGTCCGGGCCCGGGCCCGTGTGTCGCAGTCCGCGATACCAGCTTCCCAAAAAAAAAATCAATTTGGAAAACTTGAGTAAATATTTACTTAATCATATGCCAGCATGCGCTGGTGGGTGCCATGGCACACGGCGCTCTTCCTCGCGGCAGCTCAGGCGCTATGGCTGCCGCTCCTGCTGGGTGTCGGCATCTTCCTCCCCTCCCTCCCTTCTCCCTCCCTCGTCCGATCGACCATGAGCAGAAGACACGGCAGGGTAGCGGCGACTCATTCCCAAAAGTCTAGTGGCAGCAACGCACGTTCGCACCTGACGAACTTGAGCGACGTGAGGGGAGGACGCGGGTCCTCTGCGACCTCTCCCAGTGACCGGGGGGCTCAGCGGCAGAGCGAGCTGAGGCTAGTCATGAACTTGACGCGAGGAGAAGTAGACGGAGTCAGTCCAGCGCTTAAGTGGTTGAACCGTCTAAGCTTCATGGATCGCTTCTACCATCATCACGTGCCCTCTACCCCTCACTCCAGCAACTTCTTCATCTCTCTCCATTCCTCTCATTCTACGACTATCCCGACCGTCGAGGACTCACCAGCTCTCAGCTTTCGGTATCCATCGGATCACTTGCTTATAAAAACGCTGTCCCCCTATTCCACCGAAGTCAGGGAGCTGTTCCCTAAGGACCTGGCAGCCACAGGAGTTGCGTACCAGAGATGGGACAGAAGGCGGTTCAAGCAGGGAGGAGGAAGATACTGGAGAGGAAACAGAGCCAAGAATGGGTCAGACACTAAGAATATCAACAAGATTTGGGTCTGGGGGGAGAGGAATAGTTGCACCACCCTTGTTACTGAGATCCTCAAGGCAAACTTCAAGCTCAAGTGCGGCTCGAAGCAAACCGAGTGTGTGATAGGAGGGCTGCCATGGAAGCACGGCTTCATGCGCCATGCAGGTCAGTGACTCGCCGTCGGGCCGACTCGTGGGGCTGACTAGTGACTTGTTGACTGTGAGTGACTATCTGGCAGATGTACAGCAGGAGGAGAGCACTCTCAACGTCCTCGTGACTAGAAACCCTTACGAGTGGCTCGAGTCCATGCACCGCCATCCCTTCTACGCGGAGCTCCATCGAGGCGTCGACATGCAAACCTTCCTTGCGCGCGAATGGATCACATTCAAGACTGAAGCCATCGACAAAGTGCATACGAGCAAGCAAGCGGAAGTGATTCTTGACCATTCAAAGCCATCTGAGGCCACAGCGCCGGTTACTGACACCGTATTGAGTCAATGTGATCACTTGACCGAGCAGCTCGAGGATTTCGAGGCGTGCTCCTACTACAACAGTACCTACTCATGCACGCACCTTCCCGGGCTCTCAGCAGACTCTAACTGGATCACCAAACAGCACGTTCGACCGCTCGTCGAGTGTCTGTCTGCCAACCTCAGTCACCGTGCTTGCTCATCGGACTTTCTCTGCTCGGGCTTGAGTCCAGTCTCGATTTTTGCCAACTACAGCTTGCAGCAGTGGAGAGATCGGCTGGCACATTACATCCGCGTGCAGTCGGACGACTCGGAGGCCTCGACTGACATCAGCGAGCTCGAGGCGAAGGACCTGAACCCCTTGGACCTCAACAAGTCACAGTGGCGCTGCCGGACCATCCCGGGCTACCTGGTGGACAACGGGAATGAGCTCGCGCCCTCTTCCTGGTGTCTCGACGGCAACATGTCATGGGGCAGGTGCCTCAAAGGTGGATTCCTGTGCCGAGCCAACGCGACAGGCCAGGGCTTGTGGCATCAGGCCCGGCTGCCCGAGTGGAGGATCTTAAAGCAGCGGCTGGTCGCCGCCGCCAAGGAACTGACGCAGCACTTGAAGTCAGAGGCCTGGAGGGTGAAGAAGGTTGAGTTCTTGAAGGCCGGCACGTCCCTCGACCCTCCGCTCGCCAAGCACGAACGGCTGGAGGATCGCGACCCGGACACGGGGAAACGGTTCCCCAACATTCTCGCGATGAGGACAGCGAAACTGCGCGACTGGTTTCTGACGGCAGACAAGAACCTCAGCTTCAGCTCGCACGTGCCCTGCCGCGACTTCTTCCTCGACCCCACAGCAACGCTCAACGAGTTGCGGGACGACTTCGGTCTGGAGCCCAAGGCCTCAGACTGGCAGCTGTCGCAGTGCATCATGCACTTCGGCGCCTTCATGTGCCCCAAGTCGCAGAACAAGAAGGAGAAGCCGCAGCAGTTCTCGTGGTCGGCCCCTGAAGCTCTCGCCAAGCGCCTCTACTACACCAACGGCACCTACGCCAGCATCTACCGCAATATTTCTCTTGGCCTCGTGAACGCGTGGCTGGATGAAGAGCTGGAGAACGCGCTGGGCTACTCGGTCTACCCAGACTTAAGCTCTCTCTCAGCTCCCTACACTCTTGAGAATCGCTGCAGCCTCCATTTCCCTCGCCATGCTTCTGTCGCTGACCCGCCTTGCTATCAGCACTGCCATGCCTGCCTGGAAGGCAATCAAACATTGGTGGGGCATCAGCCTTATCGTCGACGATGATTAGAAAGGTTTGATTCGAATCATTCGGGGGTTTATGTTAATCGCCATGTATTGTTCGGAGTGTCTAGATTGTTTGTAAATGCAAAGAATGCTCCATTTTTTCACAAGTTCCCCGTCAGTTTACCATTCAACGAGCCTCCATGAGGCCTGTTCCTCTCAAACAAAACAAGAATCGATCTCTGGCAAGACGTTTATCACCCCTCAATCTTCCCTCCTCCCTTGCAAACCAGTCCATCTCCTTTGCAGTCCCCTTATCCCAGATGTCTTCTTCCCGCGTGCTTTCATGGGATCCCTTGCAACTTTCTCTGTCCTGTTGCTTGTTCCTCTCTGCTACACATCCTCCTCCCTGCTACTCATCAGTCTGCTTATAATCATTCCCACATCTCAAACGACCCCGTGCTCTCGTTGTCGTTCTCCTGGATCGCTGAGTGCCTGTCGAGCATGTCATTAGTGTTGCCTGGCGACCTCTTGTGGTCCAACCGGAAGTCGTGGGGCCTCGTCAGCTCGAGGGCTGCTGAACCTTCCTCCTTCGCTATAACGAGCAGTTCCATGTACAGCACAGATCAACTCTTTCATGGGAAACAAACACATCAGCGCCTGCAACTTTTCCGACAGATCGCTCGCAAGCTTCCGACATTTCCGCATGCAGTCCATGACACTGTAGGACGGACAGTTGGAAAGGTCAAGGAACGACTGGGCTAGACCCATCAGATCTGCATGAGTTCCGTATCGCAACTGGTCGATGGACTGCATGTTCATGTCACAATCAAGGAGAACGAGGGGACGAAGAGAAGGCACCTCTCGCTCTAACTCCAACTCATACATGAGAGCCAAGATGTCTTCATCCACCATCTCCTTCACCTCCTGAAACCTGCCATGATGCACGTGTTGTGAGCCTTCGCGCCGACGGTGCAGAGTGGAGCAAGATTGAAGAGGCACGCACCTGTCTTCTATCTCCCATACAGCAGCTTCAAGATTCTCAAGGTCTGAGAGTCCTTCCAAGGCAAATCTTCCGCGTCCTCCCCACCTTCGCCTTCCCTCTCCTCATCCATCGTCGACTCCTCCGCTTCTTCCCTAGTGAGGGAGTTCATCACCCCGAAACTTATGCTCTTCTTGCTTCCCTGCGGCTTCTCGAAGAATTCGCTCACGCTCTTTGACCCCAGAGGAGGAGGAGCCTCGTCCTCCATGGGAAGGGACGGAGCAACAGCGACGCCTCGGCTGTAAGCACTGCAGTGCAGATCGCAGCCAAGCTGTCGACGGGCTAAGATATGACTGCACACCACGAGCGGTTCAGCATCCCATAAGGTCTCCCGCGCACAGCAAACATCAATCATTGCCTCTTGATCAGACTGAGACATGTTCTTCACTAGCCACGGCCTCAGTCTAGAACGCATCCTCTCCTCCATCGTTGAACAGCACAGTGCTCTTGAAGGATCGATTCTCCCTCAACAACCATCAACAAGCACAAACAGCACAGCTCCCATCAATGTATCTGCCCCAAGAAATCACAATATGCGACCTTCCAGTCACATGAGCATAGCGCAACGAACAATAAGACCACAACCAGATCTGCCTGCGCCCATCTCATTCGGCCAGGCATCCGTACAGGCCTCCGCACAAAGAAAACATAAAGATCAAGTGATGTAACAGCTCCACGTACAGCATTTATCTCTCTACCCCATCCTTTCTCCACATCCCTCCCTCCCTCCTTTCCTGTTCAACAATTCCTGCAATGCCATGTTTCCCTATCCCTGCTGACCCTTTCCGGTCCTGCCCTGTCCCTGCCTGCCCCGACAAGGGCTCTTCCTTTGTACGCTGGAAGCAGTCAAGCAGGGAGATGCTGCAAGAGAGGAAACAAGGGTCTGATAGCTGGACGAGGAGGGATCATACCGATCGATGACTCGTCTCGCCGACATAGGACGAGAACGGGGACGAGCCCAACGACGTTCGAACAGGGTGCCAGTGCACTGCGGGGAGAAGCGGGAGCCCGTGGAGGACGTGGTCGCCCGCGCCTTCCAGGCCACGCCCTCCCTGCGCATGGCCCTGGTCCACCTCCCGGTGACTATCGACCGGCAGGCCCTGCAGCCTCCTCGCGAGGATCTCGTCGATCTCGGCGCTGCCCTTGAGGCCGCAGTGTACTACGGTACCCGTCCCCCTCCCCGCTCGGGTTGGCGATCCCGCAGATGATAGGGACCGTCCGATCCGCCCGCCCGCGCTTTTATCCCGCCCCGCGGGGGTCGATACGTGACGACAGCCCCGTGGGCGGAAGAGGTGAAGGTTGCCGGTTGACCAACGAGGGCAGGAGTGTTACATGTTATGTGTCAGTAACTTTGGCGACCTTGGTTGTGCCAATGAGACCTTCATCACTGAGATTCAGACCATCAGCGATGAGGATGTGAGAGAATTCAACAAGAGGCTTCATTCAGTTTGGATGAGAAACTGGTTCGCGCGAGACAACACTGTGATAGCCGCAAGCATCGAGCCTTCTTCCTGAAGGTGTTGTTGTACCTTGCCAAGAAGAACTTTTCGAATTACATTCCCAAGAGTGCTATTGTTCATACTCAGGAGGAGGCTCAGCTGGCTATGCCTAATGTCATAACGTATGTCAGTCAAAACCCCATTGTGTTTTTCTCTCTGTGCCGAGATGTCTCAAAGCTCAAAGCATTTCATTGAGCAGCTTATGCTTGGAGCATATCACTTCTGTATTGACTGAAAAAGAAAGGCAAACCGGAGCAAACAAAGGAGGACGAGGATAAACCCTACAAACCCGCCTCAATAAAATACTAGGAAACGAAGGAGGCAGCGAAAACCGCTACTCCAACCACGCAAGCGACGGCATGCACGACAAGCAGGGGAACAAGGATCAGGACAAAGAGCAGTAGCGCAAGGCTCCCGCGAGGAGGACGGCAAGACCCATACAAGAGCGATACTGCCGAAACAGGCGAGCACGCAAACGATGAAAGCCAGGGTCCCCATACACCGCCTCCTGAGCGCAGCCATCCCACTCCGCTGTCAGCGTAGCTCCATGGTGAGTGAAGGGAAGAAAGGCCTTCGGCGGGTGATGGGTGCCATAACTTGCGCGATGATCGGAAATCTTCTGTTGGGAGGGGCTGGAGAGCTCAGAAAGTCCGACGGGGCTGCCGCTGCATAAAACTTCTGTCTGTCTGTCTGTCTGTCTGTCTGTCTGTCTGTCTGTCTGTCTGTCTGTCTGTCTGTCTGTCTGTCTGTCTGTCTGTCTGTCTGTCTGTCTGTCTGTCTGTCTGTCTGTCTGTCTGTCTGTCTGTCTGTCTGTCTGTCTGTCTGTCTGTCTGTCTGTCTGTCTGTCTCTCTCTCTCTCTCTCTCTCTCTCTCTCTCTCTCTCTCTCTCTCTCTCTCCCTCCCTCTCTCTCTCTCTCTCTGTCTCTCTCTCTGTCTGTCTCTGTCTCTGTCTCTGTCTCTGTCTCTGTCTCTGTCTCTGTCTCTGTCTCTGTCTCTTAAAAACATGTCAACAATGTGAGACAGGATATATCGTTCGCAAGAAATTCTACGGTACGACGGTTTGTGCCTCCAGTGGTGGTACTTGTCATACCTTCACGATCAGATACTCTCCTCATCCCAGCTTTATCTCTGGCATCTTGCCATCGCTCCCTCCCCCCAAGGCTTCTCGGTACGGTAACTTTCTCGTGCTCCTGCTCCTTCCTCTTCTACAGCCTTGCTACAGCTACACAAGGCGACGTTCATTCTACATTCCATCTGCCTTGGGATCGGGGGACGCAATTACCTTGGGGTAGGGTACATTTGCAGTTGAAACAAGGGGTGGTGTGTCATGGGGTCTGACATGGAACTAAGTGATTATCAAGTGCCCCTGTTTTCTTGATTTTTTATGGTAGGGGGGGTGGGGTCATCGCTTGCTGACTACAATTGACTACTTTCTATGTAGGTGTAATTCTGATGTTGTACTAGGGGCGTTCATATGTCCTAAGGCCGAGGCTGCAAGCAGTGTGAGCTGTGGAAGCTGCACGTTTGTTATCTCGGATGAGGGTTTGTTGTCGAGGGAGGGGAGCTGTGGCGGGGACTGTGGAGTTGTTCACGGTTCGAGATCGTTGAACTTGGGCTCAAAGGGCATTCGGAACCTAACGGATGGGACCTTCGACGGGGTCTCGAGCTTGCGGGAGCTAACTCTTTTCAACAACAAGCTGGAGAGTCTGCCTGCAGGGATCTTCAACGGGCTCTCCAGCTTGACGGATCTATATCTTGACAACAACAAGCTGAAGAGTCTGCCTGCAGGGGTGTTCGGCGGGCTCTCAAGCTTGCAGCGTCTACACCTTTCCATCAGAAACCTGGAGCCTCTGCCGATCTCTGACGGGCTCTGGAGCTTGCAGTATCTATGTCTTGACAACAACAAGCTGGAGAGTCTGCCTGCTGGGATCTTCGACGGGCTCTCGAGCTTGCGGATGCTATATCTTTCCTACAACAAGCTCTCCTGCATTTCCTCCAAGGCGTTCACTGGTTTGTCGTCGCTTTCCCAATTGGATCTGACAGGCAACAATCTACCGTGCTATCATCCGTCTTGGCCAAGCTTTGCCACCAAGGACGCGAACCTGGAGCCGTGCCTCAACGAAACTCATTGCAACAGCGGCGAAGACAGCACCTCTATCGCCACCACCCTCATCCCAACAACATCGCCACCACCTTCATCCCGACGAACAGGCTCAGCACCGCAAACCCAACAGGCTGAGGCGGCAAGCAGTGTGAGCTGTGGAGGCTGCACGTTTTATGTCTCGGATGAGGGTTTGCTGTGGAGGGAGGGGAGCTGTAGTGGCGGTACCTGTGAAGCTAATCCGTGGGGTTGGTTGGAACTTGACAACTTGGATATTCGGAACATAGCGAATGGGACCTTCGATGGTCTTTCGAACTTGCGGTTGCTATATCTTGCCAACAACAAGCTGGAGAGTCTGCCTGCAGGGATCTTCGACGGGCTCTCCAGCTTGCAGTATCTATATCTTGAATTCAACAAGCTGGAGAGCCTGCCCGCGGGAATCTTCGACGGGCTCTCGAGCTTGACGGATCTATGGCTTCGAAACAACAGACTAGAGTGTCTGCCTGCAGGGGTGTTCAACGGGCTCTCCCAGTTGAGATTTCTGGCAATTTACAACAACAACCTTCCAAGTGTTTGTCTCCTGCAGGAATCTTTGACGGGCTCTCAAGCTTGGTGTACCTGAGGCTTCTCAACAACAAGCTGGAGAGTCTGCCTGCTGGGATCTTCGACGGGCTCTCGAGCTTGCAGGAGCTACTTCTTTCCAACAACAAGCTCTCCTGCATTTCCTCCAAGGCGTTCACTGGTTTGTCGTCGCTTTCCCAATTGAGCCTGACAGGCAACAATCTACCGTGCTATCATCCGTCTTGGCCAAGCTTTGCCACCAAGGACGCGAACCTTGAGCCGTGCCTCAACGAAACTTCTTGTGACCATGAAAGTAATCTTTTTCTTTTACATATCTTCATTCTGTATTAACCCGATTCTAGCACCGCAAACCCAACAGGCTGAGGCGGCAAGCAGTGTGAGCTGTGGAAACTGAACGTTTTATGTCTCGGATGAGGGTTTGCTGTGGAGGGAGGGGAGCTGTAGTGTTGAGCGTGAGCTGTGGCAGTGTGGAACTTATGGGTGGGGTTGGACAGTGTTGGACTTGGACTCACAGGGCATTCGGAACATAGCGAATGGGACCTTCGATGGTCTCTCGAGCTTGGGTTTGCTACTTCTTGCCAACAACAAGCTGGAGAGTCTGCCTGCAGGGATCTTCGACAGGCTCTCAATCTTGATTTGGCTATTTCTTTCCGACAACAAGCTGGAGAGTCTGCCTGCAGGGATCTTCGACGAACTCTCGAGCCAGCTTGCGCAGATAAATCTTTACAACAACAAGCTGGAGAGTCTGCCTGCGGGAATCTTCAACAAGGTCTCGGTCTTGCGGTCGCTACATCTTTCCAACAACAAGCTGGAGAGTCTACCTGCAGGGATTTTCGAAGGGATCTCGAAGTTGGATGGGGGTATATCTCTTGACAACAACAAGCTGGAGAGTCTGCCTGCTGGGATCTTCGACGGGCTCTCGAGCTTGCAGGAGCTACTTCTTTCCAACAACAAGCTCTCCTGCATTTCCTCCAAGGCGTTCACTGGTTTGTCGTCGCTTTCCCAATTGGATCTGACAGGCAACAATCTACCGTGCTATCATCCGTCTTGGCCAAGCTTTGCCACCAAGGACGCGAACCTGGAGCCGTGCCTCAACGAAACTCATTGCAACAGCGGCGAAGACAGCACCTCTATCGCCACCACCCTCATCCCGACGACTACACCAACAGGCCCAGCACCGCGAACCTGGACTCTTCACTCGGATTACCTCCGCTGCAGACTGCGGCACAAGTGGCAAGAGCTCCGTATGAACAATACCATCAAGACGGGTGGTCTAGGGAAGCTGATGGTTGTGGACAAGTTCGAGGTGTGGTTGTGCAGCTACCTGGACTCGTGCGCGGGGCCTAGGAATGCTTTCTGCTATGTTTATGACGAGGAGGAGGAGGAGTTTATCCCATGGTGATGTTTGTTGCTGTCAGTCATCTGCTCACAGTTTTTGAGTCTGATCGGATGGCTTTTTTCAGGGGGCTAGAGGATGAGCTCATGCTAAGCTAAGAAGACGGCCCGGCGACAGCAGCCCTGGGTATCACGGTTTCCAAGTCACTGAGTTCACTTGATTGCCCGGCGGCAAGAAAGAGGGTAGTTATGTTTCAATTCAATTAGTTGTGATCAATCAAGTGTCCGAGCACACTCTGATGTGTTAGCCCTTCAATGAACTTGAAGTAAGGTTTGCATTATTAAAGTTGATCGAAAGTAATTCACCAATCAAGATGTTTGACTGAGTCTGTCACGGCGCCGCCGCCGGGCTGCCGGCACGGTCGGAACTTCGGAAAACTTTTGAACTTGACTCCTTGAACCCGGGGGGCCGCCGCCCGTGAAGGTGCAGGGCCTGGCAGCGGCAGCCAGCGGCTGATCAGCAATAAACCGTCCGGACCACTGTAGCCTGAGTCACAGAACCGTTGAGGCCAAACCCGGTGACCGGTCCATAATGATGCCAAAACCGATCGGACCCGGCGTGTCAAGGCTGGATGGTTAACTTAACACTGTCCGTCCCGGCGATCCCCGGGCCCGGTCGCACACCGTCGCACTGCGGCACGCCGCGCGGCATCGGATGATCGGCGGCGAGGTCTTCTGAGTCAAGAAAAGACTGAGCGCCGAGAACCTACCCTTATCCTGGTCAGGGTTAGAAGTACGGTCCAAGACTACCGTACTTGAACTAAGTTGCCGGCCGCCGGGCCGTTCCGACGCGGCGGGCACACCGGGCCCGGCGACTCGCCCGGCCGCTCCGGGCCGGGCGACCGCCGAAGTTTGAAGCTGTAATGAACCGGTGTAGGGGACAATGGTGGGGTGATCAAGGCAAAGATGGGGGGTACCTTAGTTCGTCGAAGAACCCCTTATCTTTACTAAGAAGATAGGAATGTATACCAGGTGGGGTACGTTCTTATACCATCTAGATTCCATCAGACAATGGCGTCCGTTGAAATGTATATCGAGAATGAAGTTATGAAATTACAAAATCTTGTTATGTAAAATGAAATTATTCAGGAAAAATCATGAAATACGTTTGAGTAAGCCGCCAACACCTTTTTTGTTTCAAGCAGGGGAGGCCACAAAAAGTTAGTGGGGTTCTTGTTCTACTGGGCTACCATTTCCAATAGAGAATCACCCACCCTTACCCTGCATAATATAATAAAGACTAAATAATTTTAGTTAACTTCATTATATTATCACTTTCTCCTGTGGGAGAAAGAAAATTGATAACTAAAGTTTCTCTTGTTCGGTAGGCACCCTGCGCGCGACAAGGCTTTTCTCCACCCCCGTCTACGACCTCCAAATGGTGGGTGGGGTATTCTACGCCGTGTTCCCGAGAGATTTCCAAGGGGGTGGGGTGTAGCAACAAAAGGGGTAGAAGAACGAATTTGGTTCGAAAATGGGGGTGGGGTGGAAGGGCACTGAAGAGACCGGGCCAGATGAGGAGCAGGGGGGTCAGTGAAGATGAAAAAGATTTTGAGGGGGTACCGGCTAACATGGTGGGGTCAGTTTCGTAATTCAATGGATATTGGTGGGGTAGTCCAGGTGTGAAGAAGTGAGGGAGAGTCACGTTCTTGTCGATCATTAGGGTGGGTAGTATCCATAAGGGGTAGTCTTTCAGACGACAGGGTGATGATAAGGAGATTGGGTAGGAGGGGTAATGTTTGGTGGGGTCATCAGTTTTATACTAGGGGTGGGAGGAATATTTGGGGGTAGGGGTCCTTCTGTATGGCTCTGTGGTAGGTGGGTTGCGCTTAGATCACGCAAGCATGGCGGTGAAGATGGCGACGATGGCGGCGATGGTGACGACGGGCGTTGCGTTCATGCAGGCGCCAACGTCCCTGCCGAGAAGATTGTCCACTTCAGCCTCCTCCTCCTCGTTTGTTTCCTCTCCTGCTCCCCGTTCATCACTCTTGTCCACCTCAAGACTGTCCAAGGGCAGCAAGGAGAAAACATGCGTCAGTGGCCTTGGGGGTCTTGCGATGATGGCGGATGGAAAGGCGAAGAAGATCATCGTGCTAGGAGGAGACGGCTTCTGCGGTTGGCCTACTTCCCTCCATCTCTCCAGCCAGGTGAAAATAACCGAAGTCCCTAAATCTCGATCGTGCCGCATGTTGCTACGATTTTCTCGATTCATCGCCTTTATGCCTTCATTGAGCGCGATACTGAACCTTGGTTGTGCAGGGCCACGATGTTGTTGTGGTTGATAACCTGTAAGTCTCCCCCCTCCTCCTGCAGCTCTCTCTTGTGCCATCCTCCTGCAGCTCTCTCTTGTGCCATCCTCCTGCAGCTCTCTCGTGCCATCCTCCTGCAGCTCTCTCGTGCCATCCTCCTGCAGCTCTCTCTTGTGCCCATCCTGTCCCCCCCCCCCTCCTTTTTGTGGTCCGTCGCTTGACTTGTCCGCATAGCTCGCGTCGCAACATCGACATCGAGATGGGATGCGACTCGCTCACCCCCATCCAGCACCCTGAGATTCGTCTCAAGGCCTGGGAGGAAGTCGGCGGCCGCGCCATGCGCTTCGTCAACCTTGACGTCGCCAAGGAGTACGACCTGCTGGTAGGAGCAGAGAGAGCTTGGGGTGGTGGCGGGGGGAGGGGCTGGGGCAGGACGAGATGTAGCGGAGAGCTTCTGATCCCCCTGTGCTTCAGGTTCAGCTGTTCAAGCAGGAGAAGCCTGACGCCGTTGTCCACTTCGCCGAGCAGAGAGCTGCTCCTTATTCCATGAAAACGTCAGTCTCCCTCCCTCTTTACCCCTCCACACACCCCCTCCCTTCCCCTCCCCTCCTCACCACGTCCATCTTTCGCTCTCTTCCTTTGTCTTCTTTTCATACCTTCCGCTCTCTCCCCTTTATTCTATATCTATGTCAAGCATCCTCTTCGCTCCTGGTGTAGCTGACTCCAACGCAGGTCAAAGACGAAGAGGTACACCGTTGACAACAACGTGGGAGGAACAAACAACCTCCTTGCTGC